TTTTCCTCATAGTAGGCAGCTATCTAAGGCGATATCGACCGACCACGTATTCCAACAAAGATGCATCTCGCTGTGCCAGAACGGATTCGTTATCCATGTGCCACTGCCAAGTCCAAGCCAGATGGATACCCTGTTAGATTTTGTATTACTCATCTACCTATGTATGCATTCTTAAGGGACTTGAAATGGTATGCTGAGTCCACAAGACCGACACAAAGCTTATTTCTCCCCATTTTGTCAAGATTCGGGTAGAGAATGCGTGACATGCAGTGGCGCAAGGGATGGCGGGTAATGCCGTCCACCCGAAGTGATCCTGGATCTCACTCAGCTAACCTACACGCCTTGCTTCCCATGTTGCTCCTAATAGGGGATAGTTGGCGATCTAGCCTTCCGAAAACAACCTCACAAGCTACCGAAGTATTGCGGAATTACCTCCTGTTGGCAGAACCGCAAAGAATCCGGAGAAGCCCGCTTTTACGACGAACGTAATATTCTCAGAAAAAAATAATTGATACAGCTCTCATCTGTGTCTTATGAGGCTCTACGTTGCCCCGTTTCTGACCCAATTAGAGTGACTTCACACCGGACTTTTTGTAGTTCTGCCAAAAGGGAAGTACTGCGGTACGATGGTGTAGATCATGCAGACTGGGGAAAAGCCAGGATGACTTCCTACACAAAAGTAGTTCATTGTAGACATACGCGGATGACTTCACATTAAGTGCATACTAGCAAGGTTGCCATGACCATCAGATGGAAAAACTTCGTCAAGGTAGTGACAGCTATCATAGAGTGGGTTGGATGGGGAGTGCTGCCACGAGAGGTCTCTTTTTTTTCCCGCCGCCCCCAATCCCCCCCCCCCCCCCCCGCGTCCCTCCCCCGCCCCTTTCCGTGATAGGACTTTCTGTAAGGCACAGCAGGTGCCTGGGGTAGCATTTTGGACGCACCTCAGCACCTAACTGCATGTATTCGTACCAAGGTATTCCTGTTGCAGATCATTTGTCCGCGAACTGCAGATTGAGCGAGAGAGAGAGACAGAGAGAGAGAGAGAGAGAGAGAGAGAGAGAGAGAGAGAAAACGAGAACCAACTGCATATTTTTGTCCATGCCGCTTATTGGCCCCGTGGCGTGTCCTCCTCCCGAGGGCGCATATAATAATTACGCGCTTCCTACTTGCACTCACCCATGTTCCTGCTCAGTGCTGCTCCACACGGCATCCACCAGTCAATCCATTATTATTGTTCTTTTCTGGCGCTCTCAGCAATCGCACGACCGTTTCGTGTTTCGAAATCTCGAAATCACCGAGGCGCTCATCATGTCTCTCGAAGACCTCTCTTCGCTCCCACTCTCCGTCCAGGAGGTAGTTCTCAACGAACCTGCGTTGCAGCCGCCTCCCGGCGTCACGCCAGACCCTAGCTGGAGACCCGAGCACATGGCGGCGGCGTATCCGACCGTCGTCATTGGGCTTGTTGTCTCTTTGGTGTTCGTCCTCATCCGAATCCACGGCAAATGGTATTGCATGCGAACCGTGAAGGTCCATGACAGTATGATTGATCCCACCCCTCCTCTCTGTCTGCTTGCTCTCTTCGATCTTCCAACAGTTTTCTGGTCCATTGAAAGAAGGCTGACGGGGTGTTCATGTTCACAGTCCTAGCCATGCTAGCTTTCGTACGTTGCCCTCGAGATGAAACATATGTCCGGTAGGAGTTTGGCGATTATGTATTGACGGTTGGTAGGGATGCTTGATGGCCCATTTAGGGATCTATTTTGCGGTGTTGAACACCCAGACGGGCATCAACCTATTCACTCACCTATGGAACGTCCGGGTGAGAGATCTGCGTGAAATCTCGCTTGTACGTCCCACACATGTTCCCAGCTGGTTGTGCCAGGCTAATCGGCCTCAGTTAACCTTGGTCTGGACTAATCTCTACGGCGTCGCGATGCTATGTCTCAAGACAGCGATCCTCGTTGAATGGGTCTCCATATTCTGCCCACGGGGTACGAAGAATGTCTTCTACTGGTCCTGTGTAGCAGCTTTAACACTCAACACGGCGTTCTGGGGTCCCGGGTTGTTCGTTGTCAACTTCGCATGCATCCCTCACGCACGCATCTACGACAAGACAGTCCCTGGACATTGTTACTATGACCAGAAAGTCATGTATGTCTTCACTGCCGCATTCAACTTTTTCATGGACCTGGTCATTCTCGCGCTCCCACAGGCGGTCATATGGAAGCTGAAGTTGTCTTTCATGAAACGGATCGGTTTATCTTTCGTGTTTGCTGTCGGTCTGCTGTGAGTTTCCCTCTGCCCCTTTCCCCATAGCCGGACTGCGGGTTCTAATAGCACACACCGAGCTTAGTGCTTGCATTTCGGCTGGTATCAATATCGGCTATGCCATCGCGTTCATGCGTTCAGCGGATGTCACCTTCGCCCTGAGCTCGCTCGGCCTTTGGGCAATCGCCGAGATGACGTGCGGGTTCATCATCTTTGGTATGATAGCCGCCCCCAAGAGCTTCGACGGTCTCAGTTCCAGTTCTCTGGTCTCGAAACTGCGGGCAAGGATGACCTCGAATATCGAAGTATCGGACGGAGCATCGACATCGAACAACGGATGGCGAATCGTGAAGCCCGGTACAGTCGAGAGCAATACCCATACTGATGTTGAACGATATGGGGCTACGCCCTCCTATAAGCGTCACTCGGGAGAAGCGATGGAAATGCAGGGCTTCCCTGCCCGTGCTAACGATAGCGCACCAAGGGTCACGCGGACGATTGAAGTCACTCATGCGTATGAGCCAGCCTTTGTGTCCGCCAGCGAACAAGCAAATCTTCTCCATATGCACCCGTGGGATAAGGGTGCACAGAGTGTCTAGACTTAGCTGTGGTCTGAGCCATGGAGTGTCAGGGGCAAGGAGTGGATTGAGGGGTCTCACGTGACGGTTCAGGGGTTGTAATGCCCCTTACTTATGAGGGAATTTTCGCTTTTCAGTCGCGTCTCTCCTTGTTGGCATCGCTATGATAAACACCAAAACCTTCGATATAATACTACACACACCGTTCAATCTCTAACATTCAAGCAACATTGCCTCCATGAGATACTATTAGTGGAAGTGTTGCTATGCCTCTCCACATCGACATGACTGATTGTCAAGTATCTAACCTAGACACAAATTGCCAACATGCACTCAAGCCTAGACAACATTGACCCAATTTGACAAGAGGACCACTGCATCAAGTCAAATGTGTGTGTGTGTCTCCTGCCGTGAATGAAAATCAGGGATCCAGGTTGAAAATCGGCGAAAACGTCTCAAAAATGGTGGTGGAGAAAAGGGGGCGCTTCCATCTGGCTGGTTTTGGCCCCGCGACGCGATCCGCCGATATAGGCCGCCGGCTCAGCAGCTACTTACCCTGCTACCCCACGCCGAAACCCCGCGCGCCTTCGTTTGGTACCTCCAGGGCTGCCACTGGACTTGGTCTGCTCTCGGTATTATAGAAAACCGACGACTGACTGTCTGTCCATGTCCGTGTTCCGTTTCCCATGCAGCTGAACCTCTACCAAACAAGTCCATCGCCTTGAACATTCCAGTTTACGTTGTCGTTAAGTAATATCTACCATGAAGCTGCTCTACCCCACGTCTCTGAAGCTCGACGTCCAAAGCCTGTTGGGATTCGGCGTGTCGTTGCATCCCTATGACGTCAAGTCTCCCATTCCCGAGGAACTCGTCGACGCCGAAGTCCTGGTGACCTGGACGAACTCGGCCGACAACCTCAAGGATGCGGCCCAGCGCATGAAGAACCTGCGCTGGATTCAATCCCTGGCGGCGGGACCGAACGATGTGCTGTCAGCCGGCTTCCCGTCGTCCGTCGTCGTGACCACGGGCTCCGGCCTGCACGACCAGACCGTCGCCGAACACGCGCTCGGCCTCCTCCTCAACGCCGCCCGCCGCTTCTACGAGATGCGCGACTACCAGCTGCAGTCCAAGTGGCCCCAGCACCTCGGGGGGCCGCAGCCCGACCGGCCCAAGGGCAAGTTCACCACCCTGCGCGACGCCAACATCCTGATCTGGGGCTACGGCAACATCGCCAAGACCCTGCAGCCGCACCTGACGGCCTGGGGCGCGAAAGTGCGCGGCGTGGCCCGGTCCGCCGGCGTCCGGAACGGCGTCGAGGTCTTCGCGGAGGACAAGCTCGCCGAGCTGCTGCCCCAGACGGACGCCCTGGTCATGATCCTCCCGGGCTCGGACAGCACCACGAACGCGCTCAACGCCGAGCGGATCAAGCTCCTGCCCGACCACGCGTGGGTGGTGAACGTCGGGCGGGGCACGTCGGTCAACGAGGACGAGCTGGTGGCGGCGCTGGAGAAGGGGGAGCTCGGCGGCGCGGCCCTCGACGTCTTCGTCCAGGAGCCGCTGCCGGGGGACTCGAAGCTGTGGAAGGCGCCGAACGTGATCGTGAGCCCGCACGCCGCTGGGGGGCGACCTCAGGACGCGGAAGCATTGATCGCTTATAATCTGCGACGATTGCTGGCGGATCAGGAGCTGAAGAATATTGTATGAGAGTTCATCGGTCGAGGGGGAACGGGGTCGACTTGTACCTGCAGTACCTGGTCTTGTTTGTAAAGAATGAATGGGACTTCTGTAGTGCCAGCGCCGGCTGTGAGGAGGATCACATTACAAAGCGACACGAGAGACACCTAATCGTCTGTTAGAAGTTTATTAGCCTACGAACATATGCCCGAGTTTAACTCGAATTGCCTTCACGTTGTGTTGCCGATTGGCGTCACGCTTCTTGTCCTTGTCAACAAGCTCCTTTCCCTGCAAGCTACAGCCAAAAAAAAGAAAAGAAAAGAAAAAAGGTGAGGGTGAAAGACTGGTCATGTGCCCCATAAATAAATGTTCAAACCAATCGGAGGGAGCCATAAAAGCCCCGAAGCCCCCAAAGAAAGGTGGGAATATAGAGCCAAATAACGACAAATTTGCATAAGCTTCTTAAGCTTTGATCACGGTTGACTGATGTAATGGTTAGCATGTCAGATTCTGATCCAATATTCTGGATATCTGGGTTCAATTCCCAGGTCGACCTTTCTTTTTGCACTTTTTTCTCAATTTCTAAGGAGCTTTCTTTTTCTCCCTTTTTTTCCTACCTTCGCCTGCTGCCACCTTATTTTTCTTCTTTCAAGGAACACTTGCGCCCACGTGCCTGCCTTGAGTTCAAATTCCGGATCCGAGCCAGGAGTTTAATGATATCCATGGCCCCGACGATGAGAAAACAAACACTACTAGTCCGTCTTCACCAATCTAGGTACTTTAAGTTACCAATTTTCAATCATCTTTCTTTCATCTGAATATTTTGAACCTAAGGTTGCGATGCGACTCGCAACAGCATCGCTATGTTGAGCTGGCAAGATGTGAAAGTGAATTTGAAATACCTACATACATACCTAGGTACATACGATGGTCAGCAAACTTTGGATCTCCCGACAATCACAGCATATCTGGGCATTACCTCAAAGGCTCCTCCCAACGATCTTGACCCATATCAATCTGACGACCCCTTTCTAAGCCAACTTTCCTCCCTTGCTCTTCACCACATAGTACCCCCTTCGGATCGCCGCAAATTGCTCAGCCTCCCATTCCCAAGCCGTCATCGCGGGCTTTCCTTCATCGCCGCGCGCGCCGATCAGCTGCCTCATGCTCGCGTCGCGCTCCGGCCGGAAGAGCGTGGCCAGGCTGTAGCGGTCCGCGAGCCACTGCGCGCCCGGCGCATACCGGATCCGGTGCACGTTGCTGCGCAGCAGGCCGCCCGTCCACTCGACCATGGCGTCCCCGAGATTCACGATCAGGCAGCCCGGTCGCGGTCGCACCCAGAGCCACGCGCCCTCCTCCTCCTCCTCCTCCTCTTCCTCGTCCTCCGTCTCCATCGGGGACCGGTCCGGAGCCAGGACCTGCAGCCCGCCGACGACGTTGGTCAAGAGCGTGACCGTGCCGAAGTCGGTGTGGTGGATCATGGACGTGCGCGGGCTCCCGGCCTCCTCGTCCTTGAAGGGGTGCCGCCTTGATCATCCGGACGTTGGTGCCCGAGGGCTTGGTGGGTAGCTGGAGGGACGTGAAGGCGTCGCGCTCCAGGCCCAGCTGCGTCGCGAGAAGCTGCAGAATGATGCTGGCGACCTCCTGTCCGTGGTGTAGGTAGGACTTGAGCAGCGCAAGATTGTCGGACAGGACGGGCGGCAAGGCCTGAAGATTCTCATTGCCCATCAACCCGTCTTGGCCAACATTGAACCACTCGAAGTGATCGGGTTGTTTCGTCTCCGTCGGTACCTCGCCGCGCGACTTGTACCTTGCGTATGAAATATTAGCTGTCTCCTCGGGTTCGTTCATGTCATGTCATGTACCTTGATAAAGCAGAGAACGAGTTTCTCACCCAAGAAAGCTCCTCGGGGCGTCGTGGAGATAGTCTCTCTTGGACTCTTCCGGTAGGTCGAATAGATCCTTGCTCAGGCCGAAGAGAGTATCGATCTCGCCCATGAGGCGCTCGCCTAGATCATCGCCGCGGAGATCTACGAGGAAAAAATCAAGCGTCTGGCCCGCGGCCAGTAGCGAACGAGCTGCGGCCTCGTTGCCCGTTGAGCGAAGGTCGGCCAGGGAAATGGTAGGCAATGGGGCGGTGGGAATATCATCCGGAAAGGGCGGGAGGTATTGGAAGACGTTCTCGGAGGCCATGATCAGATCACAATCACAGTCCAAATCAGAATCGGTAACCGAAAAGTCAGTAGTTCGATTGCGGGTTCGAATGTTCGCGAGGGACGAGTAAGAGAAGGTCGGCGCTCGATGCGCAGGTGTTCTGCTTATTACCCGGCGTATAAGCTCTAGCCAGCTGATCACGCCGCCGCCCTTCAGGATTATGATACCTAGCCCCTTGCTTCTTACACGGTCGGCCTAGGTAGGTGATTACGCCAAGTGACCTTCCTACCAGACAGCCGGATATGTCCGGTTACTCATACGGAGTGAGCTAGGTAGAAGAAGCATTTGACGATTGATTATACACCAGCGTCCGTAACGGGCACATCGAAGAAAGTCGCCAGAGTTATTTAATCTCGAAAAGCACTCGACAGGTCCTCGTGAGCGATACGATACAATGGCCCCTTGACCGTAACCCGGCTCTCCGTACTCTTCAGGATACGACCGTGTACGAGGACCGTGTGTGTACGGCCAGGCCAGCGCATCATTAGACAAGGGTTGATGATACCCGTCGGCGGTCGGGACAGCACCTGGACAATACTGTGGGGGTACGAATCGGACAGTGCTCTCTGGCGACTGTTGAGAGATATTATTAATAACATCGCATTACGATTAGCCCTCGACTCCCGAACGCCTTGAAGAACAGTCGAGCACCTGCTCCCGGTAGTTATGGCCATCTTTCCTTCTAAGATTCCTGGAAGATCCATAGCCCCGATATACAGCACCTAGCGCTCCTCCTATGTATCCAGTGAGAATTCCAGTCAGCTCCATCTCGAGCCTCTTTTCTTTAGCTTCTCCCCCCGCTTAGCATAGCTCTGTCTCTCGATCTTCCTCGACGTTCGGCTCAGCCTGTCCTCAGGTGTGTGCACGCGATCCTGCAGCTATAACCGTGGCTCCTCGACTCGAGCCTCGATCGGAACCCGCGAATCCTGAAATGTGGTGTTAACTTGTTCGTTGTCTTGTCATTAAGTATGACAGGATCAGTCGATCCCTTGCCCCCCAACGGTCAAATGAACTTTCACTGTGGGTGCTCATGAAATGATGCTCGACTACCTGGACGTCTCCGCTGCCCCGTCATCAGGAATACCGTTATCCACCGGTTGACGCAGGAGTCCCTTCTCGCCAGCCTCCTGGATGGCCTCTGTGAAGAGGTGGCCCATGATCGCGTAGCCATTCTCCGTAGGGTGCGTCCCGTCCGGGCCGATGTCCTCGACTTGAGGAACGCCTTCGATGCCCTCACTGGGATGCATCTCAGCCAGCAGCACCGGCTTGCCGTCCGCCTCGAGACCCTTCATCATGTCCCGATACTGGGTGTTGATATCGAGAACCATGGGCTCGCAATTGGGCACCGTATTGGTCAGGAGCGTACTCAGGATGACCGTGGACTGGTTGGATGCCGTGAGTAAGTAATCGATCATGTTACCCATGTCTTCACCGGCTATGTCCACGTCTATGTTCTGCAGGATATTGTTCGTCCCCAGGTTGATGACGACGACATTGGGCTGCACTGTTTTTAGCAAATCGAAGTCAGCTGTCGTCACTTATCTACGTGGAAAACTGGTACGCTCAGCGGCAGAAAGAAAGCTGGCTTCCAAAAAAAAAAAAAAAAAAAAAAAAGTCATGAGAGACCGGCGGCCTGCCAATGAGAGAAAACTCACGGTCAGGAACGGCTTTCTTCGCGTATTCGTGCATCTCTTTAATCTTCTTCCCGCCGTAGGCCTCGACCTCGTTATCCACCATGTCGCCCAGCTGCACGGAGCCGACCATGTTCACGGCGAAACCGAGGCCCGTCAACTCGTCGCGCATGGGCTTGCGGAACCCGACCGTGCCCGGCGAGGTCTCGCCCTTGACGATGGATGCCCCGAGCGCCATGATTCGCAAAGGTGTATCTGGTGAAAGCGAAGTAGCCGCCGGGTGGTTAGCCTCCGCTGATGTTGTTGCCAACGCTGCTGGGAATAACCCAGTCGGGGTGGTGGGGGTAATTGTAGATGTACCGGTGGGCTGCGTTGACGACGACCCGGTCGTGGATGATGATGATGATGTTGTTGCTGAACCCCCCTTCGCATCCTGGGCTGCCCCCGAGCTCGAGCCATCATCGGAATTGGCCGCCGCACTGAAAACTCCTGTCGCAGCCAGAACTAGCACACACACACACGCGGACACGCACGTCTTTTGTCAGTTTCGCGTTGTCGAGCGTTTGAAAAAAAAGGGAGATTCGGGTTCAGTCCAGTGGACGGAAGCTGAGTGAGTAACTGAGACTCACCAATCACTATGATCAAGGCGACGACCAGTATGGCCCCGGCGGCTATCGCCCTCTTGGTCCGGAGCCACGAGAATCGCGAGCTCGTCTTCTCGCCCTTTTCCAGCTGGTCCCACGCCATGACTTACTTATTTAAGCGATGCTTTGCGAAATCCAATCCCAAAAGCCTGGAAGGATTTGGAAAGGAAGGGGAAGGGGGAGAAAGGAAGTAAAAAAGAATGATTGAAGTTTTCCAGGAAAAACGCGTTGGTTCGATTGTCCAAATCCAAATCCAACCAACACACGCTGACAGCAGCTAGGTATGCGCCAAGGCGGCGGGAATCGCAATATTCAACCTGCGCCCTGTTTTTCCCCCTAATTTCTTATTTTTTTAAGGCGTTCATCTGCATTGCAGGATACGAAATTGACCCTGCCTGCACACGCCCGGCCCGGGTCTTCTTCCAAGGCAATCAGCATCATTCACTCGGATACCGGCACCCAGGCATCAAGAGCTGCTGGGCTTGGCTTGGCGGTCCCCGTAAGTAGTGGAGTCGGATAGCTGCAGCCCTGGCACCTGGTGCGTCATACATACACCACATTACACTACACCGCACGGGGTATTGATTGCATGGGGGAGCTGGAGAAGAAGAGAACAAAAATACGGGTTGTTTAAATAAAGCGGAGATGAAGTGCTCGTTCTAGATCTCTCGATTCCTGGATTCTTGTTTTTTCGGTGCTTAATAAGCTAGCTTTGCATTGGCTTCATGCAATCGACGGGAATTTTTAAAGGGGGGAAATCACGATGAATCAGGGGTAAGTAGTTTGGTAGTTCTTGGCACGCTTATATTGAACCCAAGCAAGCGGTCTATTAATGTTTTCTTTCTTGGGGATCACTCTCGACATCGACTCGGACTCTTACGGTCTGGTCTGGTCATGACCAATATAAGTCAACTCTATTTGTCATAAACGATTATAATAAGAGAGAGACTCAAGTACATAAACTATGCATGTATGTACTTACTATCTGTTCAAGGGGAGATCACAGATGCGAAATAGCAGGGGAGGTGACCTCCCTTTTGCATTGATGTTGTGCATGTATCCCAAAT